TCGCCGCGGCTCCCAAACTTAGGATTGGGGAGGTTTTTTATAGAGGTCCCCGTCCTCGCGGCCCAGGCGTTTAAGCCAAGGCCCTCGCTCCCCCAGAGGTTCGTCATAGACATGACATAACGATCTCCGGGGGTTTACGATATGAACAGGTCCGACAATTGCGCTGTAAGGGTCCTGGCAAATACCACACAGACCCATGATGCTCCCCGTGCGCAGCTGCCCACACGGGGGGGCCATCACGGTCGGCCACGTCGCGATATGCGATCGTGACCAGGAGGAGTCGCAGGGTTGCGGCACCTCACCACTGAATGTGGGGAGGGCCAATGTACCGGTCCCCGCGACTCCCGTCCCGCCGGCCCGGAGTTGACCTCCGGGTAACTCCGACGGGATGGCCATCCCAGGGTGCGCGACCCCGACCTCGGAATATGTCCGAGTGGCCCGCGCACCCCTCTACCCCCCGGGTTGTCGGAAGCTACCGACATGCAATCCCGGGTGTGGGTTCCTCTCCCCACCCTACTCGGGCCGAGGCCCGAGTAGGAACGGATCGAGGGTGTCCCACATTTTCAGCTGCCAGACCGGCGTGCAATGCTTACTCATGTGGGACCTTCTCCTCTCCCGAGGCGGGAAACTACCCGTCTCGGAGCGGAGGTCCCCCCAACCCCGCCCCCAGACTGATGGTGGGGCAAGCCCCACCTAATGGCCCCAGCCAGCCGGGCGATTGAAGTTAGGGCCGCTTACCCCTACCGGCGATTGAGCCCATCGGCCCTGTGGAAGTCGCCAGGCTCCCCTGCAGTGGAGGGTTTTACGTCCCTCTAGCAACCGCGGGGCTGCAGCCCACCGCGGTCCGGTTTTCTGTGGGGGTTTTCCTTCCCCGTTGCCGCCGTTTGCCAGCGATCCTCAGGTAGGGGCCTCCCTTTCGGCCGAAACCGAAAGGTACTGCCGCCGAGCCTTCATCGGATCGCCGGTACCCCTCCACCACGATAAGGTGGCGGCATGGAGGGGCGACGATCGGGCCCGGGGCAGCGGCCCCAAATATTG